TGAAGCCGGATGCTGAACCGACTGAGCCACCCAGGCGCCCCAAAGGTCACGTCTTTCTTGAGTTGTACTTGGTTCTACCGATTCCACCTCGCTAGAGACCCAAATGTGATGGCAAATGCCAGCTTTTGAGCTCTGCAGTAGCTGCATGTTAACAGTTAAATATATGGTGTCCAAACACCTAATTTCAGAAATTCCTAGACTCTGGCCCAGGATTACTCGTTGGTCACACTGAGGTTTTTTAAGTCATGTGACATTTGCCAGGAAATCTATAACTCTGATTGTCCTACGCCTAGACCCTGCCTCAAAGTACACACGCTGGATTAGAAGCCCCAAATCTGTAAGCAAGACTTCCTTAGCGACTAAGTCCCCACAGCTGGTGAAGTCCCTACTTTATCCTTTGTTGTCAGTATTTTGTTTGTCGTTTGTTATTGTTATGTTGGTATGTTATTATGTTGTTACCCTTTGTTATGAGTGAAGAAGAAATGACTCTTTCTTACTAAATACACTGCAGGGTTACCTTATAATTTGATGACAAATAATTAACACTTCTTTGTAAAAAAAAAAAAATAAAAGAATTAGCATGATCAGAAATTAATTTCCCATACAATAATTCAAGGAAGCTTTCCTGGGCCTGTTCTATACGCTTTTGGCTCTTTTACAAGAATACATTCTTGCGTACTTACGGAATAAAACAAAATGGCAAATTAGTAGGATGAGAATTTTCACAAAGATGGAGATTATAAACCACCGGGTGGTTAGAAGTAGAAGCAGATTTGGGGGCGCCTGGGTGGCGCAGTCGGTTAAGCGTCCGACTTCAACCAGGTCACGATCTCACGGTCCGTGAGTTCGAGCCCCGCGTCGGGCTCTGGGCTGATGGCTCAGAGCCTGGAGCCTGTTTCCGATTCTGTGTCTCCCTCTCTCTCTGCCCCTTGCCCGTTCATGCTCTGTCTCTCTCTGTCCCAAAAATAAATAAACGTTGAAAAAAAAAATTAAAAAAAAAAAAAAAGAAGTAGAAGCAGATTTTATTAGCACATGTTACTGGGTCATATGTCATTACTTTGTGGTATGTTTGCAACCAATGTATGTATTTTAAAAAACAGGGGGAAAAGCAAAAGTTAAAAATCACAAATAAAATATGGGCCAATTAATGAAAACGGTGTTTGCCAGGCCATCAGGAGATGTTTGAAATGCTTGCAGTACTCTCCCTTAAAAAACAAATCTGTGAATTCTGCACTCCAGAAATGGCATAGAAAAACTTGACATGTTTACAAAACCCAGAGGGTCAGATGTCGATTATGGAGTAGAGCCCAAACAAGAAGCCCAAAGAAAGCTAAATCTGGCAAAGAAAGTCCATTTTGAACTAATTTAAGGATTTTAAATCAAAAGTAAGAATTAGCAAACTCAAAAGATACAAGCGTCTAAGAGGTTTTTGCTCGGGGCGCCTGGGTGGCTCCGTTGGTTAAGTGTTGGACTCTTGGTTTCAGCTCAGGTCATGATCCGGTTCATGGGATCAATCCCTGGGTCAGGGTCTGCACTAACAGCATGGAGCCTGCTTGGAGTTCTCGCTCTCTCTCTCTCTCTCTCTCTCTCTCTGCCCCTCCTCTGCTCACGTGCACACACACACACACTCTCTCTAAATAAATAAATAAACATTTTTAAAAATAAATAAATGAAAGGTTTTTGCTTGATTTCTTTTTTGTTTTTAAGTAGAATGATTTGTAGGTGGAAAAATTAAAGGGGATGCCTTAACAATCCTATGAGGCACATCTGACGTGACCCTCAGAAGTTGTATCAAATAGTAGTTGCTTAAAAACCCATCTCCCTAGTTGGAGATCTGTTTTCTTACCCTTTTTTGTTTTTGTTTTTGTTTTAAGTAGGCTTCACACCCAGCCCAGAGCCCAGTGTGGGGCTTGAACTCACGACCCTGAGATCAAGACCTAAGCTGAGATCAAGAGTCGCATGCTTAGCCAACTAAGCCAACTAAGCCACTCAGGCTCCCCTGGAGATCTGTTTCTTTAAGAAAAAAAGGGGGGAGGGGGGCACAAATGATCACCAAGATGATCATGTCAGAATAAAACAGTCTGGATAGCCCATATGGGGCTCTGCCCCTCCCCTGCTCACACGCTCACTCTCTCTCAAAAAAATAAACAAATAGATATTAAAAAAAAAAAAAAAAAAAAAAAAAAAAAAAAAAAAAAAAC